GCGTCAGCTCACGATTGGTGGCTGGATCGCGCCATTCGGGAAAGCACGCCAAGTGCCTCGGGGCGGGGCCAAAGCTGCTTGAGAGGCAGGAAATGACAGCAGGGTTGTGGCGCCTTGGCGCCCTACACTCTCCCAACCACGAGCCATCTGTCCCTACAACTTATTGCCTCTTAATGGCAGTGTGGCCATATGAATTTCCAGACAGGGCAAGGCTGCGACATTGTTTTCTAGCTTGGCTTAGAAAAAGTAGTGTGTTATGAATAGTTCTTTGGGTCTGGTAGTAGTATTCTATAATATCATTTTTATTAGCCAGTAACGCCTTGTTCTAATGATGACTCAGAATTCCCAGCTGGGATACATTGATTAGTAACTGCGAGCAAATTGCTGGCCGCGGAATTTCTCCACCAAAGGCTCTGCAAACCCGCTCTCTCACGGGCGTGGTTAAGCAGCCATCACATTGCACCCAAAGACAACCGGAGGCTCACATTGATCAGTGTGTGAGAAGAGTTGCATCAGCAGATTTATTCGGTTTTCGTTTGGAAAAGAATTAACCTGGGTCATGTGTTTTTGCTGGTGCGCGTGTGGTCATTTCTTATGCATTGATCTCTAATGAGGCCTGGCCCACAGTAGATAATGAATGAAATCTGTAATCAGTGTTAGGCCAGAGAAGCATTTTGCCAAGGTGGATGTCAGGACAATTAGATGGTTTCAGCCCTTAAGCCATAAAGGGAGGGGATGACTAATAGGTCCTATTCTTTATATTTATGTTAATTGATTCTTCAGTTTGGCCAGTATCTTGTCCTGCCGTCACGTGGAGAAAGGGCATTTAAGAAAAATCCTGGCCTGAGAATGTCAGGAACACAAGGAGAGAGCTAGGGCAAATGGTCCCCGTGTCACTAATGAGATTGTAAAGGGGAAGTGGTCCCTGGACCCAGGGGAGGGGGAGTAAAGAGCAGCAGTCAGTCAGAGGCGGCATTGCGTGGGCAGGAAAGGAAATGCACTGGAGCGCATGCGCACTGCAGCTTGCCTAGGTTTTTGCAAGAAGGCACGAGGGACCCAGAGGGGTCCTGTGCCTCTTATAGTGCCAGTGTGACGTGCAATTTATAAAATGCTGCAGCATAGCTACTGCTTATTAATATTATGGTTCAGGCTCTAAGGAATTTTTGTTTTTCTTCCTAAGGAGGCTCAAACAGCTAACAGGCCAGGGAGGTGGCTGAGTGTGAAGGGGATGGCAAGAAGCCCTCATGGGAAACAGCGCTAGAACGCCTGCCGGTAGTCTATCCTGGATCACACTGCCCTTACCACGAGCTAGACCCAAACCTCTGCTGGCTTAGTGGTTCCATTTTAAAATCTATCCTGGATCACACTGCCCCTACCACGAGCTAGACCCCTAACCGCTGCTGGCTCAGTGGCTGCATTTTAAAGTGAAGTGTTCGAAGGCAAGGGCTTGAACCACTCTTGGCTTTAGGAAAATCTCTGATGCTCTTGCCACCTTAACCAAAGCTTGCACAGGCTCAGTGAAGACGCAACATACTCTTTCCATTGAGAAACAGGGAATAACGAAGACGGCAACAAGTTCAGTCTGCCACCTCTTCTAGGAGCTTCTTTCCTGAGTGTCCCTAGAGCTTCTGAGAGCTGTAACATAACTGAACCGCTCGTAGATGACAGCTTCTTCAATCACTTTATCTTTATAAGTGCTCCCCCCCCCCCATGCAGCCCAGGCTGGCTTTGAACTTGTTATGTAGCTAGGGATGACCTCGAACTTCTGACCGCCTTGCCTCCACCTCCAGAGTGCTGGAATTTTACAACCACACTCCCTGTTTACATAGGCTAGGGATGAGTCCCAGGGCTTCAGGCTTGCTAGGCAAGCACTACTGGGTTTTTAATTATTATGTTGACCATCAAGACCTGGCTTCAAACTCATAATAACAGTGGAGAGGAACCCTTTCTAGGCCTGTTACTCTCCCTCTAGTCTTCTGTTAAGTTTCTTAACTTTCCACATTACCACATAAAATCATGAACACTTTGCAATTTACTGAAGGAGTTGTTCTATAAAAGGCGCCACATGTTCTGATGGCCAGCAGTGGTGTTGTATCTTCATCAGCCCTGGAAAAAAGTGTGTGAGTGTGAGAGTGTGTGTGTGTGAGTGTGTGTGTGTGTGTGTGTGTGTGTGAGAGTGTGTATACATACATCTACAGGGAGCAGAGGAAGAGAAATGATGAGGTGATCTAGCTTCACAGAGAACATTTGCAGATTTTTATCTGAAACGCATTTTATTAAAATTGCAACAAACTTTATAAAATCAGCTGTATGGTTCATTAAGGGAACATTACCTTACAATTATGATTAATTAGATTAAACTTATGAAAGTGTGTTATTTGTTCAGATCAAAAGGGTGGGGGAGATGATGGATGGTGAAGGAGTGTGATAAATGAACAAAGCAGCTGAACTAAATTGAATGTGTATTCATCCGTTCTCACTTCATAACTAATGATAAATTGAGCATGTCACATTTAACAATGCTCGTCTGGGCTCAAGCACACGGTTTCTTTCCGCTTCTCTCCTCAACGCCTTGTGATGGCTGAGACCATGGAACCGAAATTTTACTCCCTGGACTTTACCTGCCTCTTACCTTGAAAAACACAATGGCTGCTTACTCACTTAAGAGCTGTTAACAGGTTGTAAAATCGCCCTTCCTCAGATCATGCCTGGTATCTGAAAATAGATTTCTCTTAAGCTAAAATGAACATCTCCATTCATAGGCCTAATTATATTATATGGCAGGGGCGGAAAACACCCGGAAGTGGAGAAACGGCTTTCTTTCTCAGGCTGTGTTTTCTTTGGCATTAGATGGGAAGAAACACTCCCCCAAACTCACTCGAGAGCCTGGGAATCAGGAAAGTGAGAGACAAAAGCCAAACAGGTTGTGTTAGCTTCCTGAAACCCCAGGCTTTTGAGGATTTTAATCACATCATCCTTTCGCAAGGATTATGAAGCTGGTGTTGGGGTCAGGGAGGAAGAGGTGGAAAATAGCCCCACCCAGTCTGAAATCAGACACATGCGCCACACAGACTCAGGAATGGCTTTTGGAAAGAATCATTTTTTTTCCCCACAGAAGCTCAGGAACTGTGATACGGGAGGTGACACGCAGCCAGCGCTCACTCCTTTCGTCCCCCGACCTTGGTGGGGCTCATCGGAAGTGAGCGACAGTTTCTGACAGACCGCGGGCTTTATTTCTCTCTGCTCTGAGTTTTCCGGAAGGGTTTCTGCGGATTCACTTTGTATCGCGGTGAAGGTTTCCAGTCTGTTCTGATTTCATCTCCTCCTCCTCATCTTCAAACTCTCCTTGAAGTGACTTGATCTTTCCGGCAAGAAGGGAGCGTTAAGGGATGGAGTCAGATGCTTTTCAGAATACTGCATGCATGGGCTACACAGATCAGACTTGTGGGGCAGACTTATGCTATCCTCGAGGGATGGCATCCTGGCGTAGGAGGCAAGAGGGCCGGCGGTCACTTAGGAGCGTCAGCTGGAAACCAGCTGCTCCATAGCCGTGCTTCTTGTCCGTTTGGTTGTGAGCCTAGCGTTTAACGGCTGAGCCATCTCCAGCCCAGTTGTGGTTCTCGATGGGCAGGGGAGGCTGCATCCACCAGGAGGCAGTTGCTCCTGGCCAGATACCTTTTATCTATCATAGTTTCTGACAAAGATTGTTTCTGGAAATATGGGTTAGGCCAGTGTTTAGATGCTGTGTCACAAAAAGCTATCACCCGAAGGCCCCCCATTTCGAGATGTCACTAGAGGCAAGGCAGAGAGCGCTACCTGACAGTCAGGCGTACATTTACAGAATGGAAGTTGGTGAGCTCTGACTCAGTGAGCCAGTGACGATCAAATTTAAGGTGATTTACAACGCTGGCATAGATCAAAATCTCAATCACATTCTTTTAAGAGATTTATTTATTTATTTAATGTGTGTGCCTGAGTGTGTGCGTCACAGGCGATGGTGAGTTACCATTGGGTGCCAGGAACCAAACTCTGTTCTTTCCAGCCTCCTGGATTACATTCTTAAAGTAGTACAAGTAACACGTGGGTCAATCCTACGCAAAGCAAACCATAAGATTACCAGCTTTAGAGTAAGGACAGCGAAGAGCGCTGTGTTCATTGGCTTGCTTATTCAGTCAAGCCACCCTTCTCTTCCAGGCCAAGCCGTTGCCCCCACTGCTGAGAATGGTGTTTCTGGCAGTAACAGATGCTCTTTGGAGGGGAGTCGTGCTATGCTAGACTATTCAAGATTGGCTCAGAGCAGGAAACCGCCACACTTATCTGAATTTTGATGTCAAAATACATTTCAGAGCTGAGACAATTCATCTGTTGGGTTTCATGTGGGAAGAATATTTACTCAGCTGTGGGAAGAGGGCTCTGGTGAATACCCAATATTTTGTTTGACAATACTCAATATTCCTGAAGTACTCTGAATCAAGAGGGTTCTTAGAGTCAGAACATAAGATGATAAAGAATACGAGGGAAATTTTCTGAGGGGCACAGAGCATCAAGAGCCCAGCCTTCTGCCACCCCAGAGACACAGGTCCTTTGACTGTTCTGGTGAATTAATTTACAAAGAGTAAAAGTGAGGTTAATCGCGTTAGCTATTTAAAGCGTGCAATTTAGTGGTAATAAGTATATATTTTCAATGTTATATAACCAGCTCACAATGTTTCCCAACTTTATTTATCACCTGAAACAGAAACTAGGCATTTATACATAATTCCTAGATCTTTATTCCTGGCTCCAGTAGTCAGGATGGTCCTGCAAGGACCATCAGACCACGGTTGCTGGTTCTTTTTTATGTTTATTTTTTGGTCTGATTACAGTTAGTTCCTTTACCATTGTTAGTGCTCAGTGAATGTCAGGCATGGAGGATATTTGATAAATATGAAAGAAATGAAAGTGGACGAGAAGTAGCACATATCTTCAGGACCTAACAACTTAAAATTTCTCTTGAGGAATAGTGAGATGGTCCTCAACATGAAGACGTGGGGTGGATTCTCAGAACCCTCATGGTGGAGAAAGAGGACCGACTCTCACATGTGGTCCCCAGCCTTCTGTATGTGCACAATGGCATCCTTACATACACTAAGGTATGTACTCATGCCTCATGAAATAAAAAATAAGTGAGAAATATTTTCTTGTGTCAGGCATGTTAGCGAATGCTTATCATTTCAGAACTTGGGAGGTAGAGGTAGGACAATCAGGTCGGGGCCAGACTCGGCTATATGGGAGTTAGGGCCATACTGTGCCATGCAAAACCCTGTATCCGATATGGAAACCACACCACAACGAAACATTTCTTTCCTTAATTTAGCGAGACTAAGATAAAGCCTGGCAATTGAACACTTTCATATTTCTTTACTCAAAGAACTGTGACATGGTGACCCATTTGATGTTCATTGTTTTGGAAAAACACGTCAATATTTTAGGGAGAGATTGAAGCAAAGCATGCATCTGCCTGCATGTCAACATTTTAATTTTTCTAGCTTAATTGCACTTAGAAACATTTTAACTTACTGTTTTGGGGGTTGACCCCCACGTGATGAGCTGACTGGGAGGAATGCCTGTTTCCTAACCATTTATTGATAAGGACTGTGTCTCCAAGAAGGAAATTGGATCTTTCCAAGGTCCCATGGGAAATTAGCAAGCAAGTCAGAATTAGAATTCACAGCCTGTGCATGTCTAAGGCTCCACTGAGCCGAGCTGCCTAGCAGACACAGTTTTCTTCCCCGTGTGCCTGTTCCCAGTCACCTCTACTGGTGCCTACTGAGCGTGAAGAAAAAGTAACCTTCCATGAATTCCCCCACGGGTGCAAACAGTGCAAATTGTTTTCTTTTGGGGTCAGAGCTTCGCCACCTGCCATTTCAGATGCCGTGGAAGGCTGAAATACATCATTTGAGGGGTCATACACCATACTGGCTGGTCCCGACTTTTCTATTGGAAAGCAGGTCTTCCTCCTTTCTGGCATTGTCTCTAGGATCCTGCCTACCAGCTAAGCTCCAGGAGGCTTGAGGAGGTTGGATGGGACATTCTGCTCCCATTCAGTTGTAGCAGAAGAAAAAATTTAGGCATGAATTACCCTAACACCTTCCTCATTGCCAACTTCATCTGTCCCTTCCTCTACAACCCCCCCCCTTTTTTGTCCGTGCTTGTAGTTTAGTATAGCTTTGCTGCACTTCTCTGATATTGTCTCATAAAACTCTGACAGTAATATAATTGTCTAATTTCCAGGTTATGTGTTGCCCCCTCCCTTCCCAAGGCACACACTGGCAGGAATGCAGTTAAACTCCACTCTCCGACTTCCCGAGGCCAAGTTCCGTCGTTTTATCCCAGAAGAGGCTTTCAGGTACACACTCGGCACATTTACCTTTTCTTACCAAGCTTCCATCCCTCCTTCTGGGTCTGCTTGCCCAAGGAGGAAAACAGATGGGTCTGCCTGGAATAATCAAGTGAGAAAGCAAGAGGGAAGGTAGGGCAGGGAAAAGCCAGTAGGTAATTTACCTGGGACAATACACTCATTCCAGCTCAGAACCTTAAAATCACCACGCTTGGGAAAATAACTTTTAATGGCATAGTGGTATTTCAGTGACAATGTTTGAGTCTTGTGAGGAACATTGATTTCTGATTGTAGAGGTGGAGAGGGTGGAAGAGGGGCCGAGTAGTGTTCGGGGATGCTGATTTCTTTGTTCAGATCTCTACCTGTCTATTTCAGTGACGACTACAAAACACCACGTCGGGGCCTTGCTGTGCCTGTCTTTTTCTGACTCCCAAGAGGCATGCTGTCCCCGTCTTTCCTAGAACAAACATGGTTGTTCTGCGTCTGCGCCAATCTTAGTCTCAGAGTCCTGATGGTTCTAAGACTGGATCTCTTTTCATCTTAGTGGTTGCTCAATTAGGCTCATCTTCATCACACTTCATCACACACACACACACACACACACACACACACACACACACAAACACTCTGCATGCATACTGGTCTCCATCTTTCTCTGTGTCTCTCACACATACTCTACATGCATACTCTGCTCCCTCCCTTCTTCCCTTCCCTTCCCCTTCCTCCCCTCCCCCTCCCCCTCTCTCTCACACACATACACACACATATACACACACAGACACACACACACACTGCATGCATACTGTTCTCCACCTTTCTCTGTGTCTTTCACATGTACTCTGCATGCATACTTCTCTCCCCCTCTAGCTCCCTCCCTCTTTCTTTCTCTCTCTCTCTCTCTCTTTCTCTCTCTCTCACACACACATTTCAAGCATATTGTTCTCCATCTTTCTCTGTGTCTCCCACATGTACTCTGCATGCATACTTCTCTCTCTGTCTCTCTCTGTCTGTCTCTGTCTCTGTCTCTGTCTCTCTCTCTCTCTCTCTCTCTCTCTCTCACACACACACACACACACACACACACAATGAATGCACAGTCATCTCCCCACCCCCACACTGCATGCATTCCCAGAAACGCAGATCCTCTACACTTCTCCTCGTTGATTTTGACTCATTTGGTTTTGAGTTTACTTTCGAATTTATTTGTGAGACAGTATCTCAGTATGGAGCCTAGACTGCCCTCAAGTTCAAAATCCTCCTGCTCTGGCCTCCTGAGTGTTGAGATTACAGGTGTGTACCACTGTGGCTGGTGAGGGTCATGTTTTAACACCACTCCTCATGGTTGGTCAAGTGATTTCTTGTATCAAGAAATCGTTTTTTTTTTACAGTGTTATAGTCAATTGCTAATTGTGTTTCCTCGTAATGGTGTGTCTTTAGCTTGGTCTCTCATCCACAGGGGCTTTTCAGCCTCAAGAGATCAGAAGCGCAGCTCCATACTTCAAAGAAGACTGAAATAGAATTAAACCCCACTTCTTTCTCTCAGCTGTAGGGTGAAATTCAGGCTTCTTGATTTAGCGTATAGGCCTTCCTAAGTTAAATTTCTGTCCTCACTGTCAGCTCCCTATTCTTTGTTATGTGCAGTACAATCTGGACTTCTCCCTGGACCCAATGTGTCTGCACAGCTGTGCCTTTTGCCTGGACCACCCCTCCCTCTCTGTCACCTGGAACGTGGTCCTGCAGACAAGCTGTTGGGTTGTGCGGACTCTGTTAGTTGCTCTGGGGCTCTGGGGTCCCTGTTTCGTGACACTAAGGCGACACTGACTTGACTGTGTGTGTGTGAGAGAGGGCTAATTCATGCCTCTTACTGTTGTCAGACCTAACACGTGATCTGGAAAACAGTCGGAGCTGTGTGGAGCACGAGCGGATAGGCAGATAGACTCACATCTGTTTACGGTGCGGTCAGTAAGAGCCTGGGCTCTGCTCCCAGGGCAGGAACGGCTTTTGGTTTTGCTACTTATTAGTTGGATAGTTTTCGCTGAATTACCTCCTCCAATTTCCTCATGTAGTATCATGCCCCCTGTCATATTAGCAGTATTATTGTTATTCTTGCCAATACTGGGGAAAGACACAAGGAATATTAGCAAAGGTTTTGGATGGAAACAAGATGCATCTTTTTTCTGTCTTGGGCAAGCCATGTGACCATGATGTAACATGATTGAACCTACATGTTCTCAGGTCTGTAGTGGCAATGACAAGCATCAATAGTCACCATTTATTATGTGCTTCTTGTGTGCCAGGCAGTTTCCTAGAATCCTCTGCATGTGTTAATGCATTTAATGGTGCAATTGTACCATATTGTGAGGTACAGATGATTATTCTGCAAACTCTATTGATGAGTAATTGATCTGTAAGATAACTTTCTCCATGTTACACAGGAAGCAGGTGGCACAGCCCCGAGTTCCCCCTACAGGTGCTGTATTTACCCTCTACCCACTCTCAGTATGGACAGATAGATTACACACATGTTTATTGCTTAAAATACCCTGTGCCTGCAAAAGAAGGCTGCTTTTGCTAGGCTTGGTGGTGCACACGTTTAATTCCAGAATTTGGGAGGCAGAGGCAGGTGGATATCTGTGAGTTCGAGGCCAGTATGGTCTACAGAGAGAGTCAGGACAGAGAAACCATGTTTTGAAACAAACAAACAAAAAGAATACTTTGGGATTCACATGCAGTTTTTTTTTAAAGCTCGATCCTGGAGTTAAATAAACTAAAAGAAAACAGTACATTTAAATTTAGGTGATAAATGTCAAGGAAATCTGTCTAATACGGTGCGTCACACTAAATCTTCATTTTCCCAGAAAGGATAAATTTTGAGTATTTGTTGTATTGCCACATCTTATATACATGTGCATCATTTGGGGTCAATTAAACCTTTTTCTATTTTGAAATGATTGTACAAGAAGCTGAAAAATGGATAAGGAGATTATGTACACTTTGAACTCAGTATACCACAATATCGACATCTTAAATAACCAAAGCACAATATCTGAACCAGGAAACTGACGTTGACACAAACACACACACAGTTGTGGATGTGTGTGTGTCTCTGAGTGTGTAAATCAGTCATTATTGTCTTGGTTATGGCTTCATGCTATAACCACTGCAATCCAGATACTTGACTGGATTGTCACCTCAAGGATGCTCTCTGCTTGTGATTCCTGCCCCTGGGCTCTGCTCACGATTCCTGCCCCTGGGCTCTGCTCACGATTCCTGCCCCTGGGTGGCCACTAGTCTACTCTCTGTCTTGTGTGATTTACAGATGTGATAAGAACACAATCACATCGTCAGGTGGCAGCAGCCGTGGGTGGTAGTGGCACACACCTTTAATCCCAGCACTCGGGAGGCAGAGGCAGGTGGATCTCTGTGAGTTTGAGGACAGCCAGGGCTACACAGAGAGACCCTGCCTCGAAAACCCCCACCCCCAAAAGAATGCATTCAAGATATGTGCCACGTGAGGATGGCGCCCCCTTCCCCTGGTCCAATTCTCTGAAGATCCCTATAGGTTGTATATGTCAATAATCTACCCCTTTGTATAGCGGAGTACTATGGCCTTTATCATTTGTCTCAGGAAGGCTATACAGTGGTTCCTAGTTTCCAACCACTATAGATAAAACCATGATGGATAAGCTTGTACAGGATTTTCTCATCTATGGGAAAAATGCCGAGTTGCTGGGCCATATGGCAACTATGTACATAGGTTTTAAAAAATATCATTTATTTATACTTCGAGAATTTGATGGCTGTATTTTGATAATATCCACCTCCTACTCCTCCTCAACTCCAGCCAGATCCCCTTTCAACAGACTCTCCTCCCAGATTCATCCCCTGCCTCCCCAAGTCTGGTTAACGCTACCCACATGCTCAAGGGCCTGAGGCCATCCCAGAGAGTATGAGCCATCTACCATGGCCACACCCCAGAAAAAGATTTCCTCCCCACGCAGGCCTTTAGTTGAAATGGACACTTTCTTTTAAATTTCTATTATTTATTACTAATTCCGTAATAGGTGAACGACAGCTGCTGGGATTAAAGGGGAGAGGTTGGGGAGGGTGTCCCAACTGCTGACATCGGCACCCTGCTTCTGCCTTCCAGCGCAGAATCGGCTAGAAACTCACTGCCACAGACATGGTGACTGCAGAGATTCGGATCCAGGGGGACATTCATAGCGTGAAGTCTCTGCTGAGCAACTTCCGATTCCATGACTCCGATGCTGGGCTTCATGACCACCATGCCACCCAGGACCGTTCCTATGACGTCATCACTGGCTTTGGAAAGAGAAAGACTGGAATTTTTGGTGGGCTTTGCGCCCTCTGCTGGATAGCTGCTGAATAGCCTTTAGCCTTCTGCAGCAATCTGATTCTCACCAGTGTGGCTGGATTAATCTCCTTCTTACCAGTGAGGTTGGATTGTGGTTCCTGTCGAGCGCTCCCTGATTCTGGCCACATTCAAGGATTTATACTCTTGCGGCCTGGGTCTTTACAGGCACTAAAACTTTATCTCCAGTTCTAACTTTAGGACGAGAAATTGTTTAAAAGTTTGAAACAAGGGACTAAAGAGATGGCTCAGCAGTTAAGAGCACCGAGTTAAATTCCTAGCACCCATATCTTGTGGCTCTCAACTTTCTGTAACTCCAGCTCCTCCTTGGGCCGCTGCAGGCATCGTACTCGTGTACAAACTCACACTCAAACACACTTATCTACATTGTTAAAAATAAAATTATAATGCCGGCTTTAGTCCCTGCACTCTGAAGTCAGAGGCAGGAAGAGATCTGTGGGTTTCAGAGCTCTGTATAGTCCAGGCAGGACTCTATAGTGAGACCCCAAACAAACAAAATCAAACCAAAGACAAAACCCAATAACAAACACCCCTTCAATGAAATATGATAAGTAAACAAGCAAACGAACAAATTAACAAAGGGACATTTGAAACAAACAAATGATTTTGTTTGATGTCTGTTTATGGGCATTCTCGGTGAATTTTAAAAAACCATGTAGGTTTTGTTTGGCAAACATTTCCTTGAAGGGCCACATATAAAAATATTTTCAATTTTCAGGATACATAATTTTCTCTGCTACTATGTCTTGAAGGCACCCATTGCTTAGGTAGATGAGTATGGTTGTGTGTTAATAAAGCTTTATTTATAAAGTGAAGTGGCAAGCCTACAGGCTGTGGCTTACAACCGTTCTGCCCCCCAAACTGGACAGGTTATTCACTGTTATTTAAGCTTCAGATTGTGGTATTTATGTTAACTTTTACCTTTCTTTTCCTGGTAGGAATGTGAGTGTAATTTATTTTTAGGAAGTGTTTTAATTACCACCCTGGATACTATTTTTGTTTTGAATCTAGCAATACTGTTCTAACACTTTTTGGGTTGGCGTTAGATACTTAAGTCTTTGGGTGTTTTCCATCCTGCTAACTCTCAATATTAGGTCAAATAAGTCTTGTGTTAATGAGAATTTTAGAGGACTTGTTGAAAACAGTACGTTGACATCCCAGCACAGAGTCCACTCCATTTCAGTGGTGCCCTTCCCAGACCTCAGGGAACAGGAACCAACTCTCTTCGGTCAACATTTTGTCCGCGTTGAGGAGTAACTACAGATGCGTTTGAAGCAGGGTGTGTTTCAAGATTGGAGTTTCCGGTGGCACTCGGTTCTTTCCATCTTCCCGTTCTTCCCGTCTCTCTCCTTTCCTCCTTCCCAAGGCGTTGCTGCCCTGTCTCCCTGCTCCCTGATGTAAATTCTCCCAAGAGCTCTAATGTCATGTTTCCTCTTTAGAAAACTGTGAAGTTATGCATTCTCTCCCTCCTCCTGTACCAGGAAATGGCTTTTTGAAACGAACCCTTGGTAATTTATTTATATTTTATTTCTCTTTAGCAATTAATGTGTATCACTGCACAAGCATCCGGGGACAGAGCAGGCGTTAGCTGTTTAATTAACACAGCAGAGCCAGCAGTAACTTTCTTCTTCGGCATTTTTTCCCCTGTGAAGTACATTGTGCGGTTCCGGTGTCACTTATGCAGTGACTCATCCACACTCTGCCTTTTCAGTCACCTCATCTGTATGCTTTGCATTAATTATGCTAATTTAGAGACGAAGGGGCCCTCTCAATTTCTGGAATTCTTTCCTATGCGTGTGTGCGTAATAAAAAGCATTCAATTCTTAAGTGAGCACATCTTTTCACATACAATATCAGAGGCCTCCCTACTCCATGCTCTCAATGATAATTATTTAAAAATATTACTCCAGGAACTAGTAATTTCTAAAATGGTGTTTTTATGTTCCAGAGAGTTTGGAAGACTGCAGTTGTATCTGTTTGCATGAATACCAACTGTGTACCAAGAACAATGACACTGCACATTCTGGAAAGGATAATATTAATAATAGTCCAAACAACTGTTTCCTGGCCTCCTACTATGTGTTAAGCACAGCATTAGGAATGGAAACTGAAGTTAAACCAGAGATAGTGTTGGTAATATTTTTTTTTAAATCAAATGTCTGAACACAAAATTGCTTTATGAGAGAAACCAACCTGAGAAAATGCACATGAAATGGCATTGTCATCTTCGGTTGAGCTTATGTTTCTTAGATATTCTTTCCAGGGCTTTGGTTGTAGGAGGGACACAGAGAAGGAGGTGAAAGAGAAGATGGGGGAGAAGGAGGAGGAGGTGGTGAGAGTGGAGGAGAGGGCGTGGGAACCAGTCATTACCTGAAGGCCCAAGTGGATGAGATTTATATAAAACATGAATCTCCCTACACTCTGTGAAAGTTGAGAACTTGCTTTGCTTTCACAGGTTTCTGTTGACATTTCCAAGCTTGCTTCTCATTCTGCTTTTGCTTTTGTTCTATCCGAACTTTCAATACCATAAACATTTTATCTTCTGCAGCATTCTGAAGATGTTATTTGGTTACAGATATGAAGCTTGAATGACCACCCTAGGCTCATATATTTGAATGCTTGGTCATGGGGGCAAGGTGGGGAGGAGTAGAACTGTTTGAGAAGGATTAGAAGGATTGGAAGTGTGGGCTTGTTGGAGGTGTGTCACTGGGAGTGGGCTTGGAGGTTTCAAAATCTCACAGCAGGCCCACGGTGTCTCCCTGTTGCTGCCTGAGTATTAGCTCTGAGCTACTGCTCCAGCCCCGTGTGAGCCACCATGTCCCCACCAGTCTCCACCGGGATGAGAATGGGTTAAGTCTCTGCAACTGTAAGCAAGCCCACAATTAAATGTTTTCTTTCATAAGTGCTGCCTTGGTCATGGTGTCTCTTAGGAGCAACAGAACAGTGATTATGACGACAGGCTTTCCTGAATTTGTGACTTGCTCTTATTTTATGTGTTGATATTTTGGGCAGTTGTGTCGCACTGCCTTTGTTGTTTTCCCACATCCCTTTTCTCCATTAACTGATTCTATTCATGCTAAAGAAATGATTATTCCCCAAGTCTCTTAATTTTCTACAATATTTATCCTTTCATGTCCCTGTTTTCATTGTAATTTTCTTTTGATCTCCTCCCTAGCCCATTGATTTAATGTAATCTACCATGCTTTTTAAAGCCATCTATTGAGATCCTAGTTTTGGTTACTATAACTTTCTCAGTTTTAAGGCTTTCATTAGTTTTTTCTAGAGTTTTGAGTTTTTAACCTATATTTAATGCAGTTCTCCAGCATTCTTATTTTTATTTTCTTGAATATAATTTCCATAGCTAAATTACAGTTGTTGGGTGATGATTACTAAATCAGGAATCTCAGAGGGTTTCTCCATGCTGTCCATTGTAATTTTTCAGTTATTTTTTATTTAGTTCACAAAAGTACATTGGCAAATGTGATAGTTTGAATGAGAAATGTCCCACATTAGATATCAGAACACTTGGTTTCTAGTTGGTGGTGCTGTTTGGGGAGATTTGTGTGGCTTGGCAGCTGGAGCTATGTTATCAGGGTGAGCTTTGAGGGTTTGCATCCTCTCTCTCTCTCTCTCTCTCTCTCTCTCTCTCTCCCTCTCTCCCTCTCTCCCTCTCTCCCTTCCTCCCCCCCTTCATGTTTGCATTTGACAATGCGGACTCACACTTTGCTGGTTCTGTCATTGTGCCTGCTGTGTTGATTCACATACTAGATTCTTCTTACTTCTCTAGAATGGAAAGACCTTAGGGAGAAAAACTCTTTCTTCTGGAAGTCACTTTTGATCATGGTATTTTATTATAGCAACAGAAAAGCAACAGACAGTATTTTTTTTTTCAGAGTGGCTATACATTTTCTTCAGTAATTATCTAAATAATTGGCATGTAGATTGCAATCTTTGCAAGGACCCATTATTCTTCTGCATTGTTGATTTTGCATAAAGGCAGCCTTTCATGAGTCCAATCCAAAGCAAGTGATTTTTTTTTTCTAAACAGAATTTCTCTGTGTAGTCTTGGCTGTACTGGAACTCACTCTGTAGACCAGATTGGCCTTGAACTCACAGATATCCACCTGTTTCTGTCTTCTGAGTGCTGGGATTAAAGTTGTGCACCACCACTGCCTGGTACAAGGTAATTTTTATTTAATCAAGATCTTCTCATCATATCCAGGGCCCTGGAGTCCCTATATCCCAAAAGATTCAGTTTGCTAACTTTTAAGCCTTTGGCTTCATCTGCTAGGCTAAACCACCATGTATATTATAAAAGTATTATGACTTCAGAATTTGGGTCTAAGAATATGATGCTTTGGAAAAGAGGTTTTTCTTTAGTTTTCGCAGAAGATGAGACCCTGTGGGTTGCTTCTATACCAATATGGTATGATAGACCACAACCCCCTGAAAGGTTGCCGTGAACACCCTCCAAAAATTACTTCGCTCAACTGCTGACTGAGATGAACCTAGCACACAGGATACACCATGAAAGATCTGATTAACAGCACCCCCATGCAGCAGAAAGAAGTTTGGAGAGAAATAACTACATCTATATTCCCAAATATTGTTTATAAATCTTTGTTTACTTTTAAAGAGGGATATGATATAGATATGAATAATTTGCATTGGTATGCATCTTGCTTTATTGATATAAATTTAAGGTCAATCTTGTTATATGTACATTTATGCTCTTGATTAAGGTATTGTGATTGTGTAGTTCATTTAAAAATGTAATGTATAATTAGGAAATATAGGTTGTTAATAGATAATCATCAATAATAGTCTAGCTTGTAGTCATGTTAGTTAGATTTTCTAGATATATAGAGATATATTTCAGTTAGATAGGCATTCTTCATATCTTTCAAAGACTACAGAATATGGCATTTAAAATGTTTTAATAACTTAGGGCTTTTCATGACAATGAGACATGTCTGCTCCTGGAAGCACCAATCTACTTCAAGAGGAAGACGGGCATTGAAGAGGCTCCTTATGGAGTTGGTTAGCCATTTGGACAAGAAACTGACTGGGGAAATCTCTCTGTGGCACCCTGACAACAAACAGCAAAAAGCTGGGTTAGACTCTCTCTCTCTAGTTTTTTCTTCTAGAATTTCTTTTTCAAGCCTTCTTAGGTTTTATGTGGAGTTAGTAAACCTCATTGGAGGCACCAAACTGTTGTGAGGAGTGCAGGGTCCGTTTGTTCCATCCCGCCAGGCTAGCTTACACACGAAATAATCACACAGAAACTGTATTCATTTAAACACTGTCTGGCCCATTATCTCTAGCCTCTAATTGACTAATTCTCACATCTTGATTTAACCCATTTCTAATAATCTGTGTTCACCATGAGGTCATGGCTTATTGGGAAAGATTTAGCATGTCTGACCTGGCATCTCCATGGCAGCTCTCTGTTTGCCCTTCTTCCCAGCATTTAGTTCTGTACTTAGGTACTCCGCCTACCTAAGTTTTGCCCTATCAAAAGGCCAAGGCAGTTTCTTTATTCAACCAATGAAAGCAACACATAAACAGAAGGACCTCCTATACCACCTAGGTCCATCAACTGGTCAGCCTCTGACTCCTGGGCCTCCAGATAATGTCAGTGGTGGACTCCCTTCCTTCTTTCATCTGTCTATCCATCTA